TTGATGACCGTTCTAACAGGTGCGGGCGATGCCTCATTGTCGTTCAGGTTTGCATTTCCCTGGTGATGAGTGGTGTGGGGCACCTCACTACATACCTGTTGGCCTTTCATGTATCTTCTTTGGAGAAACTTCCATCGGGATCCTTTGCCATTTTTAAATTGCATCATTTGGGATTTTTATTCGTTTGCTGTTGAGCGGTAGGAGCTATATTTCTTTTAATATATATTTTGGATATAAGCCCCTTATCAGATACACGGTTTGCAAATGACTGTTTTTCCCATTCTGCAGGTTGTCTTTTCACCTTGTTGATGATTTGTCTTGCTGTTTGACATGGTCCCGCTTGCTGGTTTTGTTCACATTGATTGACCTTTAGGTACGATTTCCAAAACATCTGCTTTCTTCTAGGTTCATGGTTTCAGGCCTTATGTTTCTGTCTTTAATCCACTTGGAGTTAATTTCTGTGAGTGGTGTAAGATATGGGTCCAGTTCCAGGGCGCCTGGGTGGCTCAGTTGGTGAAGTTCAGGTCATGATCTCGTGGTTTGTGGGTTCAAGCCCCACGTCGGGCTCTGTGCTGACAGCTCGGAGCCTGGAGCTGCTTCAGATTCTGTGTCTCCCTCTCTCTCTCTGCCCCTCCCCCCATTGAACTCTGTCTCTCTGTCTCTCTCTCTCTTCCTCTCTCAAAAACAAATAGACATTAAAAACAATTTAGAGGTGCCTGGGTGGCTCAGTCAGTTGAGCGTCTGATGTCGGCTCAGGTCATGATCTCTCAGTTTGTGGGTTCGAGCCCCGCATGGGGCTCTGTGCTGACAGCTCAGAGCCTGGAACCTGCTTCGGATACTGTGTCTCCCTCTCTCCGTCCCTTCCCCACTGTCTGTCTCTTTCTCTTTCAAAAATAAATAAACATCAAAAAAATTTTTTAAAGATAGGGGTCCAGGTTCATTTCTCCAGTTATTCCAGCACCGCTTACTAAAGAGACCATCTTTTCTCCACTGAGTGTTCTTGGCTCCCTTGTGAAATGTTAGTCGACCATTTATGTTTGGGTTTGTTTCTGGGCTCTTGGTTCTGTTCCATTGGCCGATTTGTCTGCTTTTATGCCGGTACCATACTGTTTTTGTGAGTAGAGCTTCATAGTATAGCTTGAAATCAGGAAGCGACGTATTATTCCTGACAACAAAGTCACGCGATAATGTAAACGTCCCCACGCTTTCATCTACAAAACGCTCTTGCGTTTAGCCTCTGCTTCTTTGAGAACATCAGCAGTTGCTTTGGCATTTATTGCTAAGAGGTCATCCTCATTGTAAAGAACAGGTTGAGTTTATTAGACAGATTTGCCAGGCAACACGTCCCCGAGGCCATGGAACTTGGTGCTGAGTTACACCGGCAGGTCTGTCTCTGAGCAGCGCAAATAGGTGGTTAAACACCTCTGGTGAGAGCATCTCAACGTATAGATCCCGAGGGAGAGAAGCCACACTTAATAAGAAACATTTGCAGAGGCCTCCGCGGTGTGTCGACTTCCACAAAAGTCGACTACCTCATTAAAGTGATACATGCACCCAAAAATACACTGTTTTGACCCTGAACATCTGTCCTAGAACAATATATGCAGAAATGAACTTTTTTGGCAAACCGTCATTTATGTCATGTTTCTTTACAGGAGGCAATGTCTGTTAGGACGGGGGATAGTAGTGAATACGGCAAATTGGAGTGTCAGGCCTAGTACCTGGAAGACAAGACCCCGATTACTAATTGGACGTGGGTGAGCCATTTGATGGTAGGGGAAGTGTTCATTTTGTAAAGCTCGCGACAAAGCTGTGCTTGCGCTGTGACGGTGGCCGGACCACGTGGCCAGGAAGCTGCTGATTCCTGCAAAACAGAAGACCAGTGGTGCTCAGCTGGGGAGGCCGCGGGGACATTTTGATATGCTTATTCACTCCATCTTATAAAGTTTCTATAATGGGCTTTTATTATCAAGTAAGATCATATATTCAGGACAGTGGTTTTTTGGTTTTTTTTCTGTAACTCCATACACGGCAATGAGGACATACCACAACACCCTTGTCAGAGCGGCCAAGATCCAGAAGAACACTGACAGCAAAGGCTCGCGAGCATGAGCAGCAATAGGAGCTCTCGTTCGCTGCTGCTGGGGATGCAAAATGGTGCAGCCACTTTGAGAGACCGTCTGGCGGTTTCTTACAGAGCTACATGTTGCCGTACCGCACGGTCCAGCGGGCGCACTCCTTGGTATTTGCCCAAATAGAGAACTCGCGTTCTCACACATGTTTATAGCTGTTTTATTCATAATTGTGAACACTTGGAAGCCACCAAGATTTCCTTCAGCAGGTGATGGATAAGTAACCTGTGGTCCTTCCAAACAGTGGAATGTGGTCCAGTGATAAGAGGAAAGGAGCTATCTTGGCCATGAAAAGACAGACGTCAAAGATACGTCGATACGTGGACAAAGCCAGTCTAAAAAGGCTACGTAACGTGTGGTTCCAAATATAAGACATTCTGGAAAAGGCAAAAGTACACAGACAGTAAGATGATCTGTGGTCTTGAGGGGTGGGGTGGGAGGAGGGATGAACAGGCAGAGCACAGGATTTTAGGACGGTGAGACCCTTCTGTGCGACAGGGTGGAGGTGAGCACATGACGTTATGACTCGCACGTGTGCGGCACAAACAGTGAACCCTGCTCTACACCAGGGGCTTTCCTTCATAACAGTGTATCAGTGTTGGCTCCTCAGTGGCAGCAGCTAGCAGGAGACGGGGTGATAGGGACGCTGGGTGCGGTGGGATATGTGTGAGCTCCCCGTCCTTGCTGCTCAAGTTTTCCATAAACTTGAAACTACTCTATAAAAATTAAATTTGTAAAACTTGTATATGCCCGTCAAAGGGAATGTGAAAAATACGGAAAGACAGAAACGAAGACAGACTCAGGAGGGCCTGGCAGAGGGCAGCCAGAACCCAGCTTGCCCTCTTCTGTCTGTTGCCAACAAAGCACCCGGGACGATGCATTAAAATGGAAGTCAGCGCATGCCCCCCACTCCGCATCATACCCTCCCGTCATTGACGCTCCGACCCCCACACCCCACCCCCACTCACATTTTCTCATCTCTGCCCCTCCGCTGCACCTCCCTGATCACCTTGCGGCTTCTGGAACACAATGGCTAGGCGCCTGCCTCAGGGCCTTCGCACATCCTCACCTCTCCCTGGCCTGCTTGTCCCCTCTTGCCTCCTGCAGGCTGTCACCTATGGGTTCCTGTCCCAGGGCAGCCCTTCCTGACAACGCCGTGTGAAGATGAAACCCACCTACCAATTCCCAATCCTTTCTCCCTGCTTTACTTTTCGGCATTGTGCCCATCAACCTGTAACACAAAGCAAATAAACAAGGAAAGCGTATTCCTTGTATCGTCCCTACCTGGGAGGTGTGGTCCCTGAGGGCAGGTCTTCTATCTGTTTGGTTCACTGCTCCGTCCCTAAGAGCTAGAATATGCTTGGCATCTAGTCAACGAAATAAAGATTTGTTGACTGAATGGTGTAGAAATAGAAATGATTTTGTAATTTGCTTTATTTACTGAGCATGTTGTGGGTCGTCCCCTGTGGCACTGAGTGTTTCTCCTTGTGTGATTGTACTGGCCGTTCAGTGTCTCACTGAGTGGATGCACCGTTGTTTATACAACCACCTGCCCTTTGCTGGTATTTCTAATTTCTCACTACAAACCTTTATCTGAAGGCGTTGGACATGTGGGCGGGTTATAGGAAGGGAAACATTAGATCAAAAGTTGTGATCTGTATTAACATTTTATTTTTTTTTTATTTTTTTTTCTAATTTTCTTTTTTTGAACGTTTATTTATTTTTGGGACAGAGAGAGACAGAGCATGAACGGGGGTGGGGCAGAGAGAGAGGGAGACACAGAATTGGAAACAGGCTCCAGGCTCTGAGCCATCAGCCCAGAGCCTACGCGGGGCTCGAACTCACGGACCGCGAGATCGTGACCTGGCTGAAGTCGGACGCTTAACCGACTGCGCCACCCAGGCGCCCCTGTATTAACATTTTAAAAACATGTTTCCAAACTGCTTTCCAGAACTGGAACCATCAATGTAAGCTGGTAGCTGCAGAATATTTCTTAGAAACCACAATTATTTTAGGGACCAAAAGACTTTACAGAAACAAAACAGATGAGCATAGGGGAAGGGAAATAAAAATAACATAAAAACAGGGAGGGGGACTAAACAAAGAGACTCTTAAATACAGAGAACAAACAGGGTTGCTGGAGGGTGGTGGGTGGGGGGATAGGCTACGTGGGGGAAGGGACATCAGGGAGGACACTTGTTGTGATGAGCACTGGGTGTTGTGTGTAGGGGATGAATCGCTGGAATCTCCTCCTGAAACCATTATTGCACTAGATGCTAACTAACTTGGATGTAAATGTAAAAATAAAAATAAATAAATAAATGATAAATAAAACTTTACAGGAAAGGCACAGACAGAAGCAAACTGTCACAGTTTTCCAGTTACGTCAGGACAGACAACAGACGGCCTGAATTCCAGGTTTGGGGCCCGACCCCTCACGAGGAGCCATCCAGGCTGACGGGGGTATCGAGTTTCTCCGCCGCAGAGGCTGCGCAGGTGGCAGCCTCGGGGAGCAGCTGAGCCTCCCCACGCCGACCCACAGCTGCGTCCCGCTCCGGGCCCGCCGCCCGCCTTTCCGTGCCCCTCCCAGGCCCTCTCGCGGCTCCGAGTCACTGTGACCTTGTCACCAGCAGCCCCGGCGCACAGCAGCATGCGTCGCACAGCAGCGTGCGTGTGCTCTGTGCCCAGTCGACGTTGCGTTGTGACAGGTCGGGAACCATCCCATGTGTTTCTGGGGTATCGGCTTCCGAGAACGGGGTGTGGGCTGCTCATGTTCTCTGGGCGCTCGAGTGTGGCCCGATGAGGCGGTGCCAATCTCTGGCGGCCACCGGGCACCTCCGGGCTGACCTCCCTGTCCCTCTTCTGCAGGTGGTGGTCCCGACAGCCTCAAGCCCGTCGGCAGCAGCCCCACCATTGCCATCGCCGCCGCCGCCGTGCTGTCTGTGGAGCCCGAGGGACTTGGGGGCCCGTCCCCCCCCAGCACGCAGCCCTGCCACTTCCTGACGTTGGCCCCCATCAAAATACCCCTGCGGACTGCCCCCTTCTCCGGTAAGCACAGAGCACGGGCGCTCGGCGCCTGGAGCTGGTCCAGAGCTCACGGTGTGGGGAGCCGGCAGGAGCCGCCTGCCTCCGGCCGCAGAGCCCTGGACTCCCGTGCCCGCGGCCCCCCAGGCAGGGACAGTCGGTAGCGGTCGTACGGGTGCTGCTCGTCGTCAGATTGCACAGATGGACCCTGGTTCCTTTGAAGAAGCTCTTGCTAGGCCAAGCGGGGCTTTTTCTGCTGTAAAGCCTAGCTCGAAGTCTCCGTCTGGACAGACGAGGCTTCCCTTTACCAAGGGTCTCTGGGGAGTACCGTAGTGACTCACAGCGTCAGGATCCCCGGAGGTTTTCAGTTTTGGTGCACGGGGCTCGGGAGGAAGCGAAGACGGCACGCCGGAAACTAGCTAAGCGCCTGAGTCTGTGACACACAGAGACGCGCAGTGCTGGCCGCGCCCTCCCCCGGGCCTGCCGGCTGGGCTCCTTCTGAGCACAGGGGTGGGGGGCTTGGGCGGTCCCCGCGGCGCAGGGCTGACCGTGAGGCGTGCGTGGCCGTGAAGGGTCTTGGTTTCCTTAACTGCGGCTGCGCGCCTCTTCCGGAAGGTCTTCGAGGCGGACGTGGGGCTGGTAGGCACTCCACCGTCCCCGGCGGAACCCAGGTGCGTGTTGAGGGGCTCAGGAGGGAGACGGAGGGCTCCGAGTCCTGGGCTGGCTGCAGCTCCGTTGTCCGTGTGTGGTCACAGCTGTAGGTGTGTCCGTTAACGGTGACCAGCGGGCCGTGTGTCCAAGCCACCCGTGGACGCGGGCTCAGGTCCTTCCCTTAAATGTGGCAAGAACAACATTGATTCGGAAGGACTTTTAGGAAGGACTCAATCTTGAGAGCTGGTACTGCTACTCCAGTGTTGGGTCCGCATGCGATAAGACCTGGGTAAAAATGGTGGGGCGCGTGGGTGGCTCAGTCGGTTGAGCGTCTGACTCTTGATTTCGGCTCAGGTCACGATCTCACGGTTCATGGGTTTGAGCCCCGTGTCAGGCTCTGAGCTGACAGTGTGGAGCCTGCTTGGGATTCTCCCTCTCTCTCCCTCTCTCTCTCTCTCTCTCTCTCTCTCTGCCCCTCCTCTGCTTCTACTCTCTCTCTCTCTTAAAAAAATTTAAAAAATATTCTGTGTGTTCTAATATTAGTCCTCTGCTAGAATTCTAATTTTAGCATTAATATCATCAATTGCTAGGTTATTGCTAATAGGAAGCATCACTAGATTGTGAGACACACACACACACGCATCCAAGTTCATGGTAGAAACAGGAAAACCTAGTTTCGTTCTTTTCCCGTTTTGGTTTGCTGACATTGGTTTTGATAAGTCTAATGTCGTCTTTTTACTAGACCTTTGGAGCCCGTATTTCCCTACCGGCTTGATAAATTAGTTGGTCGGTGGGACATTGTACTCTCAAGAACAAAATCTTATTTTAGGCTGTTAGTGAACACGCATTGAGGGTGTGATGGGGAAAATAAATAAAACACATAAATAATCTCTTGTGTGGAACATAATTTACAGTTGTGTCAAGATTTCAGTTAAAATCCATCAGTCCATTGGCATTCATTAAGGATGACTTCGTATTTTCTGAGAAAATTAATCTCAGAACCAAAACCCACGTGCCCCTGGGTGGCTTCACTCTCCATGCCTCCTATGATTTATAAAGTGACATAATAATTAGGTGTCTTTCTGTGTTTGCATTTTATAAGGCCCCGTAATCAAATTTGCCGTAACGCGTATTCAGTCAGGAGACCAACGGCGACATTGTCTTGTATGTAACTGCCAACATGTGCCGTCGGAAAGCGGGAGGGAGGGGCGGCACTCCAGAGATGGCTTCTCAAACGGCCCGTGGCATTGATCCCCAAACCTCACGCTGACGCAGAGGGGCTGGCGAAGGGCGGGGGGGGAATGAAATACAGTCAGGGGGCTGGTCCGGACGCATGACGCCCAGCTCTGTGCACCGCTGGGCGACCGCTAAGCTCTGTGCGCCTCCCTGGAGCCAGTGTGGGCGTGGGCCTCCCTGGGCGCCCCGGAAAGCAGGGTGCTGGCGAGATAACACCACCTAGCAGTGTTGAGCTGGCGTTGTCCCCTTGACATCAGTGAGCGACACTGGCCATAGCTGGGGTGAAGCCTTTCCAGAATTTCCCTGAACGCTTTCTGGGAAACGCAGCTTAGAGGCACCTGAGCGGTTCGTCCCTCAGAACTCGTCTTAACCACAGTCAGGAACTCCGTACGGTGAGGTTCAGTGAGGTTGAAGGACGTTCTTGGTGCAGGCTCAGGCGGCCAGCTGGGACATTCCCAACACCCCTGACACAGGTGACGGGGTGGGGGGCACGGGGACAGGGGGAGGAGGAGGAGGTGTCCCGTCAGGGCTGGGTGGGGCCAGCGGGGCGGAGACAGAGCAGCAACCCCAGCAAAGCAGATTTCACAGACGAAGACAGACACACCTGTCTGTGAAGCGTGCTCCATATTGAAGCTGATTTCATAAAAGCGTGGGAATTTTCCTTCAGCTGCAGATGAATAACCTTGTTTTTATTCACAGCATTCCCATCCGGTAAATGAGCTAGACTACTTTAGTTATGCTCTTGGCTCGGTCGTGAAAGCCAGAGAGCCTTAGGGGCCCTACAGGGGTTAGCTTTCTGTTCTCACCTGGAGGTAGGTATGGGGTTTGACAGATTTTGGTCACTATAAGTCGGGGGGGGGGTGCTCCTGGGTCTGGGGGCAGAGGCCGGGGACACTCCCCACCCCACAACCCCCGGGGCAGCCCCATGATACGGAAGTGTCCGGCCCAAGGTGGTAGTGCTTCTGCTGGGAAACCCTGGATTATATTCTAGAACCGCACTTGACGAAGCGTGAAAACCTGCACTAGCGTGTGACTAGGCTCCCCTGGGAGAGTCAGGGACCTAGTAACTGAAGGAGCCTGAAGGAAACAGGCTGTGGCTGGAAAGACGATCAGCCGTAAGAGCCGCACTTGGTTAAGTGCCTTTTACGTGGTTTAACGTTTCGAGGGAGACACCGTATTTGAAAAGCCCCACGCGCTGTTCCTCCCCAGTCACAAACGGCTGTTTCCTTCCAGACTGCTGCCTGCTCGTGCGGCTCAGTGGGTCCTGGCCGTGGCTCTTCGCAGGGCCCGCGCACTCCTGGGAATCCCCTAGTCCGTGCGCTGGCGTCTGTCACTCGTCTGTCCCCCTCCCTGGCCTGTAAGTCCTCCCCTCCTGGCCCCACCTGCGTCTGCTGAACCCGTGGCTCTGGGCACCGCATCCTTTGGTGGCTTCCCGACGTGGGCGACCATCCTGCAGACCGCACGTGGGCACCTTGAGTACCCACAGTTCTGTCAGCCACACAATCGGCTGCTTCTCACACAGGTGCTCCCAAGTCACGGGTGATTCACGGGGCGGGGAAGGGGGCCTGGAGACACGACTGTCCCGTCCCCGATGCTGGCAGCGCAGGGCCCCTGGATGAGGGCGTGTGGCAGCTGGAGGGCCAGCAGAGGCGGGCGTCCTCGGTCGCCTCTCTGTGGGCTTGCAGCTGAATGCAGCTTGCCTCCCTCCATTCATACTGGCCTTTATGTGTTAGAGCGTAGGGGAAAGATGTACCTTGTGTTCCATTTATGGAGACCCTGGGGTTTCTGGGGAGGATGAGGCACCCAGTGGAGGGCTGCTGTCCCGGCCCCCGGCTCCCCCCCCCAACCTGCCTGGAGCCTCTGTCCTCCGGCCACGTGGGGCCACGGTGCAGCCGGGCTCCACTGGTGTCCCTATTTGAGGAAATAAATGAACTGATTTTTTTTTTTTTTTTTTTTTTTTTTTTTTTTTTTTTTTTTTTTTTACGAATGATGGTAGTTATTTTTAAACCTTTGCCACCATTTTGCAAGCATTCGAGTGAGAAAGGTAAAATATGAGTGATAGCTACGGTCGCTAGCCGAGCGGATGACGATCGAACACAACGATTAAAAAGCACCATCTGCCTTGCAGACCATTTACCACCTGTTCTTTTGCTTCCAGAACTATTTAGTGGTTTAAATTTCACATTTTGTCCTGCCACACAGCAGCTGGGAAGTGACTGTTCTTTCTTCTATCAGAAACGCTCCGCCCGAGCTCTGCGACAAGCCAGGAAAAGCCGCCACGCCGCCTTTCATGGGGCTGTGGCTCTCCTCGTTAGCGGCATGTGCAGATGCTAAAATAGGTTCATGACAATGACCTGGCGACTGGGGAGGAAGCCTTTTCTTGTTTCATCCAGGCATCGTTTCCTCCTTCACTGTAATCAAAAACGTCATGACACCTATCAACATTTTAGAGACTTTCAGGGACAGAAATACCGTCACGACGAAATTGCTTACACCCCAAAGTGCCTGGGACTCATTGGCTTCTGTGAGAAAGACGTACGTGTTTGTGATACAGGGATCGAGATGCTTTTAGCAGAAAAGGTATTGGATTTGAACAAACAAAAGGGCTTTGTGTGTAGTGTGCTATCCGCGGTGAACTCAGGTCAAGGGTTCCAGCTACAAATGGCCAAGTTGGCAACATGAGCTTTGCACACATAAAGTGCAGATTTTCCTGAAAGGACGTCCCACGGCGGGGGCCCAGAGGGCCTGGGGTCTGGAGGACCTGGTTGCTGTGGCCACAAACCGTAGCACGGGCACGTCGCCTTTGCGTCGGTTCCTTCCTGGGCCCTCCCACTGCATCTGGGAGAATGGCACCGTTGAAGCAGCATCCGTGGCCAGTGGCCATTGGAGGCAGGGGGGCGGCACCTGCTCGAGGGCTCGGGAAGGGACCTAGAACCCTGAGGTGCCCTAGAGAGGGAGGCGGCCGGTCCAGGGACCCACCTGCAAGGGTCTCTGGGCTAAGCTGCTTTGGCCTTAACTCTCAAACAGCGTCCTCCCGAGTGCGTGTGCTCTGGAGAAGGTCCTCCCCTGGCCTGTTTTCGCCCCGGGGCTGGTCCCGTCCTGCCACCCACCCTGAGAAATGCCTGACTCTTCAGCTC